GTCTTGGGCAGGGGCAAGGGGCGGGGCTTGCCTGGGGCAGCTCGACCGCCTCCCTGGAATGAAGCTGTTTCTGGGGTTAGAGGGCAGAGCTGCAGGTGGGCCCCGGGCTTGCGGCTCGAAAGCCAGGACGTGTCCCGTCGGAGGGACGGGCCGCAGTGGGCTGAGTGGGGAGGTGCCCGTTTGGGGGCCAGGGGCGGAAGCAGACCATCCCGGATGGCACGCTCGTGTGCTCTGGGAACCGGGCTCTTCCGCCCGGGGCCGCTGCCCCCGCCCCGTCTCGGGGCTCCACGGGCTCACCCCACTCCCCCCACTCCCCCCACAGGCTACTGCACGGGCTGGGGGGACCCGCACTACGTGACCTTCGACGGGCTCTACTACAGCTACCAGGGCAACTGCACCTACGTGCTGGTGGAGGAGGTCACCCCCAACGTGGACAACTTCGGGGTCTACATCGACAACTACCACTGCGACGTCAACGACCGGGTGTCCTGCCCCCGCACGCTCATCGTGCGCCACGAGACCCAGGAGGTGCTGATCAGGACGGTGCACATGGCGCCCGTGAAGGTGCAGGTACGCCGGTGGGGCCCACTCGGTGGGACCCCTCGACCGCCCCGCTCAGGCCCCTGCCACCGCCCTGGGCGCGGGTCTCGGTGCAGGAGCCCCTGCCCAGGGAGAGGGGTGGTCGGGCAGGACTGGGCTCACACCCACACGGAGTCGCCGGGGAGCCCGACCCCCTCCGTGGACCCCCGCGTCCCTGGGGGGCTTGATGGGCGGCACCCCGCTGCCACCTGACCCGGGACCAGCAGGACAGAGAAGAGGGAGAGTGGACGGGACGGGAGAGGTGACGGGAGAGACGGCCCCCCCCACCGCGAAGAGAGCTGGGGTGGGGCGCAACTCGCCCGGCCCTGCCCTGCCCTGCCCTGCCCTGCCCTGCCAGGCAGGCCTCCCGGGTCGGAGGGCCCGGGCGGGGCGGGCTTGCCGCCCGTGGCCGTCCCTGAGCCCAGGTGTGTCGGCCACAGGTGCAGGTCAACAAGCAGGCCGTGGCTCTGCCCTACAAGAAGTTCGGGCTGCAGGTGTACGAGTCGGGCATCAACTACGTGGTGGACATCCCCGAACTGGGCGCCGTCATCTCCTACAACGGCCTCTCCTTCTCCATCCGGCTGCCCTACTACCGCTTCGGCAACAACACCAAGGGCCAGTGTGGTGAGCCTTGCCCCGCTGGCCCTGGCGGCCTCTGGCTGGTGCCCTGGGGAGGGTGGCGGCAGAGTCCGTGTGAGTGCCCGCCTGCCTGGTGCGGTGCTCCCGCCCCTCGGCTCAGGGCCCCGGCCTTCTGGGTTTGGCCCCTGCGGGAAGCCGATCAGAGTCCAGTGTCGTCTGTGCCCGCGGCCCTGGCCAGCTGGTCAGCAGGAGGCTGGGCTGGAGGGGCGGAGGGGTCCTGGGGCTTGCCTGCCTGCGGGGCCGGGCCGGGCCGGGCCGGTTCAGCGAGGGCCGTCTCTCTGCCACAGGCACCTGCAACAACAACACGCAGGACGACTGCGTGCTGCCCAGTGGCGAGGTCATCTCCAACTGCGAGGTCTCAGCCGACCAGTGGGTGGTGAACGACCCGACCAAGCCGCACTGTCCCCACACCAGCCTCACCACCCGGCGCCCGGCCACCACACCAGCAGGGGGCAGCTTGGTCACCCCGCACAAGAACTGCTCGTCTCCTCTCTGTGAGCTCATCAAGGACAGGTGACCGTGCCCCTGGGCTGCCTGCTGCCCCGGTCACTAGCGTGCTGCAGGGTCTCGGGGAGCGGGCTCTTTTCTCTGGGCCCCCCACCTTGTCTGTCTGCAAGGGGAGGAGGCGGGTGCTGAATGTGGGGCTGGGAGGCAGGTGCCAGCCACCCAGGGGCCCGGAACACGGGCCCGAGACACCTGGTTAGAGCCCCCAGGTCGTCCCTGCCCCTGGGGGTGCAGGGCAGCTTGAAGCCCGGGGTAGACCAGTTGGCCAGGACAGAGCGTGTGCTCGGGGCTGGCGCTGGAGGCAGGCTGGGCTGGGACAGAGGGCCGCTCCCCACACAGGGAGGCAGCAAGCACCCCATCCCTGGAGGCGTGCACGCCGAGGCTGGGTGGCCCCGTGCTGGAGTTGCTGGAGCGGGGGGTGCTGGCCACTCTGTGGCCAGCCTGCTCTCCCAAGCCCCCTGACCCAGGGCCTCCCGGTGGGCTGCTCAGGGGCCAGCGCTGGGTGGAGGGGGCACGAGACAGGCAGGGAGGGACGCGGGCAGAGTGTGACCCGTGTCCCCCCACAGCCTGTTTGCCCCGTGCCACGCTCTGGTGCCCCCCCAGCACTACTACGAAGCCTGCATGTTTGACACCTGCTTTGTGCCCAACGCGGGCATGGAGTGCGCCAGCCTGCAGACCTACGCCGCCCTCTGCGCCCAGCAGGGCGCCTGCATCGACTGGCGGAACCACACCCACGGGGCCTGCCGTAAGTGCCTGCCGGCCCCCGGCCCCCGTGGGTGCTCCGCGGGAGGACGCCCGGCACCGTGCCCAGCCTGGGGCCAGGCCGGAGCGGGGTGGGAGGGGGCCCAGTGGGGGGGGGCGGGGCAGGGCTGTCACTTGCCGGGTGGGGGGTGTGGGGGCGTGAGGCGCAGGCTCCTTCCTTCCGACTCCGGCCCCTCTGACGACGCCTCCCTCCCGCAGCGCTGGTGTGCCCGTCCCACAGGGAGTACCGGGCCTGCGGGCCTGTGCAGGAGCCCACCTGCAAGTCCAGGTCAGCCGTGGCAGGGCGTGTGGGGGCTGCGGGCTCCCCTGGCCGGGCGGGGTGGTCCCAGCGTGCCGCCCCCCAGCCGCCCGCAGGCCTGGCTCACGACGCCTCCCTGCGCCCGCAGCTGCCCGCAGAACAGCACCCTGCTGATGGAAGGCTGCTTCTGTCCCGAGGGCACCATGAGCTACGCCCCCGGCGTCGACGTCTGCGTGAGCGTGTGTGGTGCGTCTCCCGCTCCCGGCCCCCTCTCTGGCTCCCCCTGGAGGCCGAGCGCGGTCTTGCCCCCCGGACTCCGCTAACCGCCCCGTCTCCTCTCTCCTAGGCTGCGTGGGACCCGACAACGTGCCCAGAGAGGTAGGCCCCGTCTGGGGCTGTCTTCTCTCCTCCTGCAGAGACTGGGTCCTCCAGGGGCTGCGAGGCAGGCGGGGAGGGCAGGAACGTCCCACCCACCGCCGCCCCGCCCCCTCCACCCAGCAGGCTTCCGGCAGGCCGGCCCTCCCTCCTCCCGCCGCTCCATGCTCCCAGCCCTGCACCCCTCTGCCCCTCTGTTCATCTATCCCCCCTCCACACCTCGGGCCCTCTAGTCGCCCAGTGCTCGGGCTGACCTGAGCCGAGGTCCCAGCCAGCGCCCCCTGCACGCGGCCCTCAGCTCCCTTCCGCACACGCCCGGCAGACCAGGGCGGTGCGCCTGCCGCCTGCCTGGCCCATGCAGGTCACGGCTGTGTCACTAGTGGCCTGGCCCTGAGTGATGGCCCCTGTGCTGGACCAGACCCTCCCCGTGGGCTGAGGGGTGGGAGGGCGTGGGGCGCCACATGGGGCCACCCGCGGGTGTCCGGCGCAGCGCCCTCTCCTCGGACCGCAGACGCGCCATAGTGCGGCCCTGCCTGGCGCATGGGGGGAGGGGGGAGCGCAGGCCCCGCCCCGCTCACCCCTGCGCTCTGCAGTTCGGGGAGCACTTCGAGTTCGACTGCAAGGACTGCGTCTGCCTGGAGGGCGGGAGCGGCATCGTCTGTCAGCCCAAGAAGTGCAACCAGAACCCACCCATCCGGTGCTCTGAGGACGGCACCTACCTGGTCACCGAAGTGGACCCGTCGGACACCTGCTGCAACATCACCTCCTGCAGTAAGGCCGCCCGGGGCCTCGCCCTCTGCTGGGGCCCCCAGGGTCCCTGAGCAGGCTCCCTGGGCGTGTCATCACCTCCTCCGTGGTCGAGGGAGCCACAGGGGCCGGGGCTGCTGAGAGCGAGCGCTGGAAGGGAGCCGTGCTCAGGCCCAGACCCTGCCTGGCGGGGTGGGGGGCACGGGGCCCTGCCTGCAAGGAGCGGCTGGTGACTCCTGTGTCCCCTCCCTCTGTCCGCAGAGTGCAACACCAGCCTGTGCAAGGAGAAGCCCCCGCAGTGCCCGCTGGGCTTCGAGGTGAAGGGCGAGATGCTGCCGGGGCGGTGCTGCCCCTTCTACTCCTGCGGTGAGGGGGCCGGAGGCGAGGGCGGGGCGGAGGTCCTGGCCGGCTGGGCTCTCTGAGGAGGACTGGTGGGCGGCCCCTGGGGCCGGGCTACGGCGTGAGGGGGCTGGTGAGGGGCAGTGGCTCCCCCCGGGGGCCCCCACCCCTCCCAGGCTGTGTGTCTGACCCGAGGGCTGGCCCTCTTCCTCCCCAGCACCCAAGGGCGTGTGCGTTGTCGGGAACGCCGAGTACCAGGTGAGCCGGGAGCTGCACTGGAGGGAGGGAGCGGAGCCGCGGGGTGGGGTCCCAGGCAGGCCCCCCTCACACGGCCCCCGCCCCCGCCCCCCAGCCCGGCTCGCCAGTGTACTCCTCCAAGTGCCAGCTGTGCGTCTGCACCAACGTCACGGACAGCGCCACGCAGCTCAAGGCGGTGTCCTGCAGCCACGTGCCCTGCAACCGAGTCTGCAGCCCCGTGAGTCCCCTGCCCGGGAGCACACGGTCCCGCCCCACACCCCGCCCTCTCCACACTCCCCTGAGCGCCGACACCTGTCCCCCAGGGCTTCGAGCTGGTGAACGTCTCCGGCGAGTGCTGCCCCCGGTGCGAGCAGACCAAGTGCATCATCAACAAGCCTGGCCAGGAGCGGCCCCTCATCCTGAAGGTGTGCGCGGGGGCGGGGTGGGTGGGGGCTGGACCAGATTCTCCCAGGGCCTGCCTGCCTGCCTGCCTGCCTGTGGTCACAGGTGCTAGTGACCACGGACGGGTGTGGGGCCGAGAACACCGGGGACAGTTCTGTCCCCGTCCTGGAGGCCGGAGTGCCAGGTCCAGGTGCTGTAGGTGCCGCGGGTGCCGCAGGGCCGCGCTCCTTCCAGAAGCTCCGGGGGCGGTTCTTCCTGCCTCTTCCGGCCTCTGGGGTTGCAGGGGTCCCTGGGCTTGAATGGCTGCACACCCAGTCTCTGTCCCCGTGATCACATGGCCCCTCCCCTCCCTGTGTCTCTTCCGTCACCTCTTCTAAGGACACTTGTCACTGAACTTGGGCCCACCTGGTAGTCCAGGGTGACCTCACCTTGCAACCCTTCATTTAATCGCATCTGCCAAGACCCTCTTTCTAAATAAGGTCCCGTCCGCAGGCTCTGGGGGCCAGGACGTGGGTGTGTCTGTAGACTTCAGGCTGCTGGCTGTCCCTGGGCCCCTCCTGCGTGTCGCCTGCCCGGTGGCTCTGGGCCTGCAGGCTGGGCCTTCTGTCCGAGGGCTGCGCTTGGCCACTGGGGCCCGGTGTCCCCGTCTGTCTCCCCAGTGGGCCCCCCCCCAGCCCTCACCGCGCTGTGCTCTGCCCCGCAGCCCGGGGACTTCGTGAACGACCCCAGGAACAACTGCACGCTCTACAGCTGCATGAAGATCCACAACCAGCTGATCTCGTCCGTGTCCAACATCACCTGCCCCGACTTCGACCCCAGAGACTGCCTCCCGGTGAGCCGGCCCGTCCGGGGTGTTCGCCGTGTGGGCTCTCACTAGGGGTGGGGGTCCCCACGTCCCCAGAGGGCTGGTCCCCAGTGCGGGGATGGTGGCCTCTGGCTCGGGCCCCTGCTGTAGGAACCGTCCCTGGGGTAACGCCCTGAGCCACTGTCCTTCTCTGCAGGGCTCCATCACCCTCATGCCCAATGGCTGCTGCAAGAAATGTGAGTAGAGGCCTCGGGGGGGGCTTCCTGGGCCCCCCAAGGTGGAAGGGACAGGGGCGGGGCCCTGGGATCCAGTCTCAGCGCCAGGACAGGGCGGCAGGGCGGCGAGCCTCCTGTGAGGCGTGGAGCCCCTCCTCGAGCCTCCACCTCGCTGCCCCCCAGGCATCCCTCGCAATGAGACCAGGATCCCCTGCACCACCGTCCCCGTCACCCGGGAGATTTCAGATGGCGACTGCACCGCGAGGGTCTCCATGAATTACTGCACCGGCTCCTGTGGGACCTTCTCCATGTGAGTTTCGGACTGGGGTGGGGCAGGCAGGAGGGTGCTGCGAGCCGGGGGGGTCCTCACCACGGCTCTCCTGCAGGTACTCGGAGGAGGCGCAGGCCCTGGACCGCCTGTGCTCCTGCTGCAAGGAGGAGCGCACCAGCCAGCGTGAGGCGCAGCTGCTCTGCCCCGACGGCAGCCGGCGCACACGCACCTACACCCACATCGAGAGCTGCCTGTGCCAGGACAGCGTGTGCGGGCCCCTGCCCGCCCGGCATGGGGGCCCTGGCCGCACCCGGCGCTCCCGGAGGGGCTGAGCGGGGCAGCCCCCGCCCAGACCCCATGCCCACCCCGTCCGCACCCCCGACCCGCTGACCCTCTGAGCTCCCTCACCTCCTGAGCTGGCATCCTCTCGGTAGATATTTATTTTCCGAGCCTTTGTTCAAATCTTCGCTTTCAAAATAAACTCAGGCAGAGACGTGGTGTGGCTGTGCTTCGGCGGGTGCCATGGTGGCGTGGTGGGCTGCTTTCCAAGGGCTCAGTGCACTCAGAGGCCCAGAGGAGCCCCTCGCCCCCCAGGGGCCCCCTGCTCCAGGGCTGCCCCGTCTCACCCTGTCCCGCTCCTGCGTGCTCGACACCCTGGTCAGGTCCCGAGGAGGTGGGTGCCCCCCTTCCAGGAAGCCGTCCGACCCGTGATGGGGACACGGACTGTCAGATGCCTCTCACCGCGATTTCCAGGGCTTTCCCCTTGCTGAGGCTTCTGCCCAGCCCATCACTGTGGGCGGGATGCGTGTGCATGTGTGTGAGCGTGTGCACGTGTCTCTGTTTGTGACTCGCCTGTGAGCTTGCACAGTAAAACAGACCTCATTAAGGTTAAAAACTCCTGCCCTAAGAAAGACAGTTACCAAAATGGTAAGCCACAGTTGAGAAGAAAACTTTGCGAAAACTTTGCAAAAACTCGCATTCAGAATACAAAAGCAGCTCCTGCAACTGAATCGTAAGGCATTAAACACTGCAGTAAAATGCCGCAAAGACCCTCACAGCCCGACAGACGGTGGGCCACCTGCCCATGAGAGGGTGGCCCAAGGCACAGCCACCAGCCAAGGCAAAGTAGCAGTGACCTCACGAGTCCACACGCACACACTTCCGAGAGTTACAGTCACCTCATGAGTCCACACACACACACACACACACACACTTCAGAGACAGAGATACATCCACCTCACGAGTGCACACACACACACACTTCAGAGACAGAGTACAGTCACCTCCTGAGTCCACACGCACACACTTCAGAGACAGAGTTACAGTCACATCACGAGTCCACACACACATATACTTCAGAGACAGTTCTAGTCACCTCGCAAGTCCATGAGCCCTCCGATAAAGCCCCGTGTTGGCAGGAATGTGGGATGCTCCTGTGTTGTTGGAGGGCTTCTGAACTCGCACAGCCACTCTGTAAAATAAAGTCTTACAAAGTGAAGTGTATACTTTCTGTGTGACCCACAGCTCCATGCTTTAGGCAAGATGAAGGAAATCGCATCTCCACATAGACACAAATGGGAAGGTTCAAAACTGCACTGCTCTAAATTTCTGGAGGCCTGGAGCAGTCAGATGTGCAGCCACTGAGTGGGAATCCACCTGGACAGTGACCTGGCGTGTGTCCCCGGTGATGCCCAGGGGCGTTCGCCCACTGACGGCATCAGACGCAAAGACGGGTAATTCCTTCCCGTGGATTCCGAACACGGCAGAACCGGAGTCCAGGAAGCGGAGCCTCTGGGTTTCTCTGTTTGGATTGCAGAGTACGCAAATAACCAGTTACTGACATTCTGCAAACTGAAAATGATGTGCCTTATCACGGGTAAACGACGCTTTGGTTACAGATGAGCAGGCGACAGTGGCTGACAGAGTGGCTGTCCATGCAGCTCGTGACTGCGGCAGTCCGTCTGGCTGGTCTGTATCTCTGTCCGTGGTGGGAGTGTAGGGCCGGCGATGGCGGGAGCGGTGTGGACGCCGCCCTGCAGGTCCACTCCTTCCCCAGAAGCAGGTAGCTGTCCGTGCGGTGGCCACACGGTCCTCCAGTCCGGCCAGAGGACGGGCTCCGGGCACAAGCACGTTTCCTGTGCCCACGGATGTCACGTGCGCTGCTGTCCAGCAGCCACAGGCGGTCATGCGCACAACCCGGGATGGGCCGGCCACGTTCTGTCACGCAGAGGGTCCCTGACCGTGGAAGGAGTGGGGAAACGCAGCCATCTCGTTTCTGGGCTGGAGTATCTGTGGGCCCAGATCGCTCCAGGGCAGCCCACAGAAGGGAGGAAAACCGGGCACGTGTCCCTTGTGAGCACAGAGGCCGACTCCCAAGGAAGGTGCGGCGCCTCTGGGAGGAGATGGGAAGCCGCGGTGGGCGGGCGTCTCTCAGCTGCCGCCGCCGGTCTGCGGGTGGGGGGTGGGTCCCCTGCCGCCTCCCCCACCGCAGGGCGAAGGCCCAGACTCGGGGGTCAGCCGCTCTGAGAAGGGAAACGCAGCCTCCCAGCTCCCCTCTGCTCCCGGGCCGACCGTTCTGCGCTGCACGGGTCCCAGCCACCGGCAGGGCAGGGGCAGAGGGGCGCCCTCCCACTCCGGGGGTCACACGCACCCACAAGCCTGGTCCGTGGCCTCCGGCCTAGAAGCCACCGTTTTTAACATTAGGCTTGGCCCTCGGGTGGGGATGTGGGGCCGGGCGGGAGGCCCCCACCACGATCCCAACCAGCGAAGCAGGTGTTTTGAGGATGGTTCCGTGATGGCTCCGCTGGGTCCCCAAATCTTGGCGGTTTACGACAACAATTCACGCTCATTCACGCTTAGTGTGCGTTACCGCGTGGCTGTCCTACGTCCTGTCGCTCCAGGACTGTGGCGTGGAGCTTCTGCCGCCTCAAAGACCACTCGTGGTCCTGTGGAGGGACCCGCGGGGAGTCGGAACCCTCCCAGTAAAGGGCCACCCAGCTGCTGGCTGGCGGCCACAGGGGGCAGGATGTGCAACACCGCAGGTGGCCAGCAGGGGGAGCCCGCGCGCTCGTGAGCTGCACAGCTGATTTAAGGCCCAAATCCCCTAATACACAGGTGGCGACCCAGAGGCCCACGGGCCCCTCCCTCCAGCACCGGCACCTTGTTTCCACTCGGCAGCTCCTGGCCCATAGTTAAGGAGCAGTTACATTTATACAGTTCTAAAGTTACATCCGGCCCTCTGAAGGCAACTGCGAGGTTCATGTGGCCCCCGGGGAAAATGGGTCTGTCGGCCCTGCTTAACAGATGCACAAGAAGCACCTGGTAAAAGCACAGCTTGTGTTGCCTTAAAAAAAAAAATAAAGCAAACTAAGACTGGCAGGAAACATTCTGAACTTGTTCATTAAGGCGTATTGGTCAAAGATTTCCGCGAGCATCAGATTCAGGATGGGGCTCGAGCGGCCTCTCCAGTGTGGGTGGGGCTCTGGCCGGAGTGGCGGGACAAACACAGGAACCAGAGCGAGGCCCGCAGTGGAGAGTGACACAAGTGTCCCAACCTCGTGACACTGTGATCGCCGCCACGGAGGGCCAGGAGCAGGTGCGGCTGCCATCGGGACCAAGCGGGCAGCCCGTGACACGGGTGGTGAAGGGAAACACAGAAAACCAGCAGCACCGTTTGCCCCAGGAGAACTGAGGGGACAGCACGAGAGGACTTGATCTCACGAGACGGGCTGCAAAGCCGTGCAGATCCCTGAGAGCGCGCGTGCAGGCCGGGACGCGAAAGCCGCCTCCACCACTGGAGGGCGCTCTCGGACAGCTGGTCAGACTCGGAGCTGCGGGCCAGGCGCTCCCACCGCCAGGCTGGGGTTTGAAAAATAAGGCTGATTCTCGAAAAGAGCTGTGTGGACGCAGGGCGGCGCTGCTCCCGGTCCCGGCCGAGGTTTTCGTGGGAGGCGGCTCTAATGGCCCAGGCGAAAGCGAGGGGTGAGGGGGGCGGAGAACGTTCCAGTCCCAGGGCAGCGTGGACTCGGCGCGGGGGCAGGCAAACGCGCGGACGGAACGACCGCTCGCTAGGACGGTGCGGGGCGGGGCGTCAGGAAACGCGGCTGCGGGCCACAAGGTTCTCTCCGCAGAGAAGCTGGAACTCCGCCTCCACTTCACAGCCCAAAGTAAAGTGAGACGCTAGACTGAGAAGTAAAACTTTGTAACATTCAGGAGAAAATAAAGTGGTGATGTTTGTGGCCTCAGGGTTAAGGGAGGATTCCTTAACCAAGTCTCTAAACCGAAGTCACCGGGAAAGTCAAGGCAGATGCCTTTGCCGGATGACGCTTCAACAACTTTATTGGAAAAGGACACGTAACGTAGTAACAATACAGGTCCGAGGGCAGAAGGCGATTTCCGTGTGTGACGGAGAAGGGTCCGGGGGTCTCAGCACTGTCCACCACCGGCACTGCACCCGGATGGCGGGGGCTCCGGGCAGGCAGGCCGCAGAGCTGGGCCCCAGCCCCCCAGCCCGCCCTCGCCCGGGCATGGTCCAGCCTGTCGCTGGGGTGGGTCCTAATCAGTGTGACTGGGGAGCTTACGAGAGGGGATCAGGACACAGACACACACAGAAGGACCGTGGGGGGGACACGGGGGGAAGTCGACCGTCCGCACGCCCAGGAGGGAGGCCTCAGGGGGCACCAGCCCCGTGACACCTGGTCTCGGACTCCAGCCCCCAGGACGGGGACCGAGAGTGTCTGTGGTTTCAGCCGCCCAGCTCGGGGTGACTCGGGACTCTCTCAAATGGCAGATCTGGAGAGGGGTTGACCACCACTTTCCTTTAACAGATGGCAAGAGGGGCTGAAATGGGCCGCTGACAGCGGGCTCCGCTGGAGGACGCTGGCCCCGGGTTGGGTGAGGAGTGGGGCCCTGGGGACACCGGCTTTGTTGGCTGGGAGCCCTTCCCACTCCCTGCACCCCCACCCTCCCCAGCGTGGGAAGCCCTTGCCCCTGGAACCAGACCAGCTTGCCTCACCTGGTCTTCCGTCTGCCACGTGGCCCCCACGGCTGAGCTGCCCTGCAGCGTTATCAGTGGCCGTCCGGGCATTTTTCATCCCCAGTCTCCTCCTGTGGCAGCAGGCTTGCCTGACCAGGCCCCGGGGCGATTGCGGGCGACCCTGGCCAAGGGCCACTGGTGTCCTCTTATCTCAGGCCGTTACTGGGCCGTCCCGGGGGCCAGGAAAGGGCTGCTCACCGCCGGTCACCATGTGCAGGGTCAGCGAGCTGTCCGGCCGTCCTCCCGTTTCCCGCTTGGGTTGGGGGTGACACGAGGGGGCTTGGCGGTTGGTCTTCAGGGCGCCCCACGTCCCCCTGTGGCCTCCGGGTTCTGGCCCGACCCCTCCCTGGGAAGCCTGGGTGCTGCCCGTCCCGCGGCCCGGGCTCCTGGCACCCGCCCCACGCCGCCCCTCTGCGGTCCGCAGAGGCAGCGGTGCCCGCGGAGCCCGGACCCAGGCT